CTGCCACTTTCAGAAACCTTGCGTCAAAGGCAAGTGATGACTTTGCTATCTAACCAGTCCTAAGTTGGTTGTTCAGTCTACAAATTTTGCATTTTAACAGTCTTCAGTCATTTGAAGATTAAAATTTTATGCTCACAGGAGGCAGCAGAAACAGAAAATATTGCTGTTCATGTCATAGCTTAGGTGACTGGAAAGTCCATCACTTGTACCAGCTGCTCTCCTACTGCTGTTGTATTCCCTCCTTGGAAGGAAATAGAGAAAAGTCATCTAGCCTAAGAAACAAAGAATGGAAATATTTTTTCCCCTAAGATTTTGTAAACTATTGGTTAATCTAGAAAATAATTACCTTCGCTTTTGAAGAGTACTTTGCTGCATCACTCATAAAAACAAATATATGAACGCCTTGAGTTTACTTAATGAGATCTTTCTGGCTTGTTTGAATAGAAAGTTGTATTCAAAAAGCTTCAGCCATACTTTCTACAACTTAAAATCATCCAGCATCAGTCTCCTCTTTAGCACACGCCTTGATACATTCCCAAGCTGGAAACATTTCTCTTTCCATTATTTGTGTAAAAGGAGAATATTGTGGATTTGTTTTGAAGAGGACAAATTTGTATACAAGCAGGTGTAATTCCCCAGTATCAGACTGAGAAGAATTACCAGAGCTGGGAAAGGAGCCCAGATGTTCCGAAGCCGAGTCTGGAGTAACCATGTCAGCTTTCCATGTTAGTCCCCGTTAGCTGCCTAAGACGTGTGAGAGCTGAATGCTCTCAATGTCTGTTGAACTGCCTCATAGCAGTCACCATGTCCCTGCGTGTGCTACTGCGCGATGTGCTTGTCTGGATTTGACTCTTATTTGCTGTGGCTCTTGTCTTCCCTCCCCAGGTAGTAACAAGTTCACAGGAGCCATTTCTCAAGTCTTTTGATAAAGCAAACATAGTACAGAATGAGTGAGACTTTCAGGTCACGTTCAGTTAACCTGAGAGATGTCATTTCTTCTTGCCTGCTGCCACTCCAGCAGGACATGGGTCTCCCTGTCTTCTGTTTTATGTCTGTCGGCCCCAAAGAGATGTCTTAAACGTCTTACAGTATTTCAAAATGCACCAAGTACCCGAGATTAGATAACTAAATCTCATCCTCAGTCCGTTCTCTGCAGTTTGCATAGGTTTGTCTTGTATTTAGACAGTTACAGTGGGATTTGTGGTCTCTACCTCTGGTACCATACATGAGGCTCACCAGAATTCTTGAGAAGTACTCAAAGAAACTCAGGTCAGTTTTATCATTTGCAGACTCCCAAGTGAAGCTGCTCTAACTATAACAAAATGGCAGCTTCTGTCATTGCAAGTCCTTTCTTACCACTGGTTTGGGTTTCTTTTTAATGCAACATTTCAAGCTGGGTTTGTTGGACAATTTTCTCACTTTCTTGGAATGTAAACCTTCTCATAAATGTCCATTTCCCATGGCACTAATTTGATGAAATGCTGCTATAAGTTTCATTTTGTCTCCAACTGCGCAAATGACTGCCGAGGAGTAATTATGCTTTGTAGCCTGAGCTCAGTGGAACACTAAAGGCTGTAGTTTAGTAGTCACTTTGCTCCATTCTGTGCTCTTGCATGAATCTGTGCTTGCCTACATAAGTAATAAGTGTGCAGGCTTCCAGGAACCGTGCATGTTTGCGATTTCAATCTTGGGCTAAATGCTCACCAGTGCTGTATTTTTTAGTGCCTCACGTTTTACCAGAAAGGCAGCATAAAGGTTATCAAGTTCTTCCCTAAGTCAAAAAAAGTGAGTGTGAGAAACCGCCACCGGTAATGTTTATCCAGAATGTAAAACGTGGTATCCAAATAAGTCATATTTTTCTTGGGTTCTGGCCAAAGCAGAGCTGTCAACAAAAGAAAAGCGGATAGGGTTAGAAGGGAAGAAGGCTATGAAAAAAAAAAAAAAATTAGAGGCCCTTTTGTTTTCCTTTCCCAAATACTGTTGTGAGAAAGAGTCTTCTTAGGCATATTTCTAAATCATGCGAGCTACTAGAAACTACCAGACCTTTACCTCACAAAACACATATCACATTTTAAATTCCTAACGCTAAGGATTTTAAGAAAAGCCCTGTGATTAATCTATACCTTCTGGCTTGCTTTGTAGGTGAGTTTGGAGATGAGTTGAACAATAGCACTTTTAGGAATTCGGAAATGCAAAAGAAAAGATCTGCTTTTTCTGAAGCGCCCTCTGTAAGAGAAAATAAGAATCCTTTCATTTTCACTGTATTGTTCTCTTTCCTTCAGAAAAATTTTATGAATTGTGTATTATTATCCCTGTTCCCTAGATAAGGAGATTGAAACAGAAATTGAGAGGCAAATTATGTATAGTTCCTGCATAAGTGCACAGAGGATAATGAAGGAGACCTCTGCTGACTGTTGTGCCCATCAAACAGAAGATAATTTTGCTATAAGGAGTCCGAGAAAGTTTCCCATTGATTGACATGAGAAAAGAGCTAGTCAGTGCAATGGACCTACGCTGCATTTTTGGAGCCCAGGAATCCCTGTCCAGTCCCAAGTATATCTGCCTAGATAAATTGCCCATAAAAGTCTTGAGCCAATAGTTCCTGTTATTTCCTGGAGAGAGCCCAGCACAGACAACCTTAGGAACAGAGATTTTGGCTGCATTGTAGAATAGTCAGGCAATAGACAGAAAGGTACAATCAGGTACCAAAAAGACGATGAGCTGGCATGGCCTCCCTGGAGTTAAGTCTCATCCTCTTGATAGATACAGGTTTACACATTTTTCTTCCAAGGTTTTGAAGATTCTTCACAGTAGCTTAGAGAAAGAGTCTCAACGTATGTCAGTGATTTGCTTCCAGCTGTGTAGAAGTATCCCACAAGACCAGATTTGTAAAGAAGAAAGCAATATTTGCCTTCCATGCTGGATAGACCTGTTGCTTAGCTGGTGCATAGTTTGAATGATTCTCCCGTCAAAAATGCTCTCTCTGAGTTTGCAAATAAATGGTTTTAAAATGTACTCAGAAGAGAGCAAGTATTTTTTATTAATTTTATAAAACTTTCCACTGGAAAAACTATATGAAATTCAGTCAGTTCATTCTTTCTGCTGCCTTCAAGTTGAGAGTTTTGTTTGCCAGCCTTCTCTCCCAATGTGAATGCTGCAGTAAGTTTAAATCTTTCTGTCAGATTGCTCCAATGAGTAATCTCATTGATTTGTGTGTGTGTGCGTGCGTGCGCTTCAGAGTACAGTAGGACTGCAGTATTGCAGCACCAGTTGCCTCTGCTGGAGACTTTCACTGGTTTGTTCCACCTTTCTCTTAGTGCATCAGGGGGAAAACTCGGTTTGCCATGAGTCTTGCAGCATGGGTGCTGAGCCTGAGCATCATCAGTGCACATTGGCTTCTGGGGCTGTTCAGGGCCTTTCAAAGCTCAGGCCAATGGCAAATGCTGGAAGAAATTGTATTCCAGTTGCAGAGCACTGTGTCTCTGTCTCTGTATGCAAACAACCAATACAGATTTCTGTATGAGATTCCAGTTTAGGAACCAGTTAGGCACATACGTAGCCTTATCCTGAATTCGTCCCATCTGTATGTTCCGATACACAAGGATGTGTATGTGAAAAAAGTTTTGGAAGGCTTCCTTGCAGGTGTATTTTGCTGTTTTCATTGATCCCAGATACATAAAGTCGGCTTTGTGAGTGTGAGGCGGTTTAGATGTGAGTAGAAGAATCGGGCTCCAGGACTACTACAAAAGACATAAAGAAAGGAGAGGTGAATGATAAATAAATAGATATTAAAGTAAAATAAAATAAAATACCTGATGCTTCAACATGTCCTTTCAGTTGCTCCTGGTATGAGCAAGGGAAAAATCAATAAAATAGCAAAAAGGGAAGGTACATTGTTAGACATAATTTAAATCAATGTCAGGAAACATCCCTGAATTTTTATTCAGATTTTTGTCTTAAAGGGCAGCAGAAAAATGGTATTTTTCAGGTGGTGTTTGATAAACTACCAAAAAATGTCATCTGTTACTGGACTTGTGCTATTAAGGGTTTGATCTTGAAAAGGGCAAATCTGCTTCGCCTGACCAGGGTTAGTTTAAGTGTGGCTAGAATGGAAAATTATTTTTTCAATAGGCTAATCACAAGGGCAAAACTTAGATACAGTGGCACAGACGACAATGTTGTAAATTCAGATGAGGAACAGGTAGCTCGACAAAATGAAGTGCCCAGCATGAAATCCTAGCTTCAATGATTTAGATAGAAAAGCTCTGCTGGTCAAGATTTTTCTTCCTAAGAAACAGAAGGTCTGTTGTGTAACAGGTTGCCATATGTATTTTTTTTTTTTAATTTTAGTTATTTTTTGTTAGGATTTTTCTTACTTTCATCATCTTTTTTTTTAATAAGCCAAGACAACACCTGGCATTCATTCTGATTTCAGATTTGTTTTAGATCATTGTACAACTTCATCAAAACCCATGGAGTTATTTTCTGGCAAAATCAGACCCCTTGATATGTTTCATTAGAAACAGCTCTCAAAGGATTAGTGTCTCTTTCCTCCTCTCCTCCCTCCCCTCAGGATGCAGAGTGGTTGTCTAACAGTACTTAGCTGTATTTATTTATCATTACCGTGCAATTTTTATTTAAATAAGGTGCAGATATATTGGCACAGTGAGTGCACAGGATGGCTAGCGGTCTGCTTTAAAATTGTATGGATGTGCAAAACCTTTGCCTTGGCATACGCTGCTTTTCTGCAGCCCAGCTGAAATGCGTACTTCACAGTGCAGCCAGACCATTGCTTTGCAACAGGCTTTATTAATCCTAATCTTTTCGTCGCCAGCACACTGAGCGCGCCCAGGCACCGCAGAGATCCTTCCTAGATGTGAATGTGTCAGTGTGGTGGTGTGTGTCTCTAAGGCTGCCTGTTTTTCATGTGTATTTCAGAGCAACAGTGCATAGCGAAAAAACGAGGACACCCAACCTTTTTCTCCTCTTTCATTTAACAGGAGAGATGAAGAAATGCCTTCAGCTAGGCATGAGAATGAGGATATATTCATTGCTGCACAACTCCAGCAGACTTTGGCTGGCCTGGATGAAGATTTAGAAGGTAGGGAAGTGTATTACCTCTGAAGTACAAAAGTGAGAGGCACAGCCAGGAGGTGCAGAGTCAAACTGTACTCTGAGGCATCTGTACATTTCTCACTAAGATCACTGGGAACAGCTCACAGGTCTGAGGCGGAATGTGGTCCACCCGAAGTGGCTGCTCTCCCTTTGCTTCTGGGGCAGCTGCTCTTTATAGGCTCACACTGAATATTTTTCAAGCTGCCTATCAGATTGTCATTGTATTTCAGTGTCTGCTACCAAAAAGAGATGAACAACAGTTTAGGGACACATTTTATGGGCCAAATTTGGTATAATTTTGTTGACTTCAGTGAAGCTAAATCAGTTGTGAATTTAGCTCTTTGTTTAATGAAAAATGCCTCTTTTTTGGATTTTATTATAATGAAGTGGAGAAAGGGGAGACATTTTTATACCCAATGCCTCCTCTGTGTTAGCAGATGTATTTTAAAGTTAAAAATCAAAAACCATGAAAAGAAACAACGGGAAGAGAGAAAATGTCGTATATGTTCCTCTTTGTCTTACTGAATAAGAATATTTCTTTGTTAATGGTTTGTCACCAAATGATGTTGAGTACTTTTAAAACTTCTCACCTTTATTTCAGTACTTCTGCAGTACTTCAGGACTTGTTTCTGATCTAATTTCTATGAATTCTCATACACTGCAATTTCTTAGCTTCTGTGTTGTAAGCCTTGATTTATACCAGCAAATTGGAGAGGAGAGTTAAGCTTTTTGCACAATGAAGCTTCTGGAGTCACTGGTAATGAAGGGTGAGAAGAGTGGAGAAAAAATACAAGTACTGTTTCTTTGTTTGCTTGCTCAAGGAAATCCTTCAGCTGGGCTGTTATTACTAACCAGGTCTGGGAAACATAATTTGAAGTTGCTCACTGTTTCTCAGAAATGTTTCTCCTTTGGAGTCATGTGGTGAAATGTTTATCACTGAGAGAAGTTAGTCAAAGATAAGGTATGAACAATAGATTAAATTCTGCTTTCAGCTGCATTTGTATGTTTCCCACTGGCTGAAGTAGGAGGACTGCAGGAATATTTGGCTGATCGTAATCAGCAGCCAGACAATAAAAAGGACTCAGATCTCTCCTTTTTTGTAATACAGGCATAAATATATTCCTGTTAGTTTTAGCATAACTAAAATATCTGATCTGCTTAAGCTTGTACTGGCTGTTTGTGTAACTTTAAGCCATATTGCTTAAATACTGCCTATATGTAATGTTGTATGTGTATTTTGCAGCAGTGGATGGTATAAGTAACTCTGACTCTGAGTACACCAATGAAGTGTTGAGCCCACATTCAAAAAATGTTGAGGCTGCCCAAGATGTTACCATTTCTGTTCCAGTAACAGTCATAGATGATGCTCCAGAAGTTAGCACCTCTAACTCAGCTGGAAATCAAGAGACAGAAACAAGGCTTTCACAAAATAGCTCAGCTGACTCTGTTAATACAGGAAACTTCACAAATAAAAACAACAATGCAGGATCCTTTGATAAGGGACACACAGATGGTGGAGCTGTATGCATATCCAAGGACCTAATACATCAGCAACCATCTGAAAATGAATTCAGTCACTTGCCTGTGGAACAGAGGAGAGATATGTTTGAATCTCTCACATCCTCCTTCGAAAAAAGAAGTGAAAAGAACTCAAGAGTGGACCCCTCCCCAAGACATGGTGTGAAGTCTGAGGAATGTAAATCTAAGCTGACTCCATCTCACTCCAAGGCCACAGCTGAAATCAGTACAGCAAAAGAGAAAATAAATCCATTTAATGAATGTAGTAACAGGGAAAGATCTCTGAAAAAAAGTAAATCAGAATTAGAAATCAAATGGCCACCAGCAAAAAAAAATGAAGTAGAAGAAGTCCCATCAACGCCCACATGGTGTCATCGTGCCCAGAATTCAGGAACAAACTACGAACCTAAAATGGGTTTGACAACCTTTAAAGTTGTCCCTCCCAAACCGGAAGTAAAACATTTTGATAGAGGAGCTTCACTCTCCACTGGTGCCATTAAGATAGATGAACTGGGCAACATCATAGGCCCAAACACCAGTGTCAGTAAGTACATACCAGGTACCTCTACTGATGAAAGTGAGGAAATTCATCTTGGAAAAGTGAAGGCGTTCTGGAGGTCAAGTTCTATGGAAAAGCAAAGTGATGACTCTACTGAGCATCTTCCTAAAAAGTCAGCAGTCACCACAAACTCTAAGCCCTTTACTATAAAACATGAACTCAAACCTGTCTGTCTTGCAGCTCCAAAACCTGTAGCACCACAAACTGTTGCTACTCAGCTAGCAGAAAGGCAGTCTGAGTGTGAAAGGACCAAACCACCTCTTCCAGTTACACAGTCTCAGGTAACACCATTTGTCGCCCCGGCCATTAATAAGGACAAGCTGGAGCTTCCATTTGTAAAGCCACATAGGAGAACTTCAAGTCAGTATGTTGCCTCTGCCATTGCAAGACACATCAACGTAACTACCTTTAAGTCAGACTCTATGGAATATCATGAGAAAGATGAAAATAAACAAGGGGCAGGAGAGGTTAAAACTGAATCAGAAGTTTCACCAAAAAGATGCATTATTGTGGCCAAATATAGCCCTGTGGAAACAGAATCAGCAGAAGCAAGAGAAACACTTTCAAATATTTTTACTTGCAGTCAAAAAGCGTCGTACAGATTTACACCTGGTGATAATTCTGGTGTGGAAAACAAAGTAGTCAACATCAGGGCACCAAATCAAGCAACTCCTCTGAGTTTCTATAAAAAGAATGCCAGTGTCCCACTTACTAAATCCTCTTCAAAGGATAACAACAGTGCAGAAGATGATCAAGGTTTAAACAGCAAACAAACTACAGCAGAGAAAAAGGCAAATCTTTTGTTTGACCAGAAATGTGAGACTTCAATCCATACTAATTCAGCCTCGTCTCTCAAGTCTCCTGAGCTCCAAGGAGTCCCATCCTTTTTCAGCTCATCTTTGCGAGTCACTAAGTGGCCTCCTGCTAACGGAGTACAAGTTAGTTCACTTAAAGCTTCACCCGAGCTAAATGGTGCAGCAGCAAACACAGAGTCAGAACAGGAGGAGAAACCTGATGATTCGGATATTAATGCTGTCAGTGAAGTGGATGTTAATGTGCACACCAATATCTTTGGACCAAAGAAGAAGTTCAAACCGGTCATCCAAAAACCAATTCCAAAAGACACATCACTGCACAGTGCCCTGATGGAAGCCATTCAAACAGGAGGGGGAAAGGAGAAACTCAGAAAGGTAAAGGGGAGACTTTTTTTTTAGCCTGTTCAGACTGCACAGCCCTGTATTCACCCTGTCAGATGCCAGAGGTTTTATAACTGGTCCAGTTGCTGGTAAGCTGGAGTACACAAGGCATTTGACAAAATTATAATGGCAAAATACAGACCAAGCCACTGCTTATTCTGCACATCCTGTATATTATGCAACATCATTGCTGCTGCACTAGCTAGAAGAGACAGAGAGTGCAGAGATACAGCATAAAGGGGAGATAATTGAGGTTAGCCTAAGAGCCAAACCCACATTTCAATGAGTTATGTAAAAATAGGAACACACAGCATGGAGGAAACTTGTAAATACCTGCAATGAAAGAAAACTGCGTTTTGTATTACTAGGTGTTACTAGTTTGCCACTGGCTTCATGCTTGGGGGATATGGGGCTCTATCTGTAAGTACAGCATTACTATTTACACATATCCTCACCGTTCAGTTTGAGTAAGGGTTGTAAAAGCAGGACCAAAAGAAGATAGACTGACTAGTCTCCATTACTTACATTCTGGTATAAGTGCCAGAAATATTTTTAATAATGTTTCCAAATAATCTCTAAGTAAATATCTAATAACAATGTGAGATTTATTCTTTTCATATTCTAGGTTTCAGACAGTGCACTAAATGGTAATCACAGGAAACCTTCATATGCCGAGCCAGATAATGAGCGCTCAGCCCTACTAGCAGCAATTAGAGGCCACAGTGGCACCTCAAAGCTGAAAAAGGTAAGCAGTCAAGATGGTAAGTGATCTTTCAAGTGCAGTGTGTTCCTGCTGTGTGTTATGAATAAACGCAGATATGCCACAAACTAAATGGTGTGCTGCAAAGAGAAAAGTTGAGGGGAAATAAGGCAATGCAAGAGCAGATCTGACTTACGCAGATAGTGTAGCGGGTCCGATCCTATCCTATTCTCTGCTGTAAAACTTAACACTTTTTCAAATGGTGTGCTTTTAGCTGAGAAAGAGGCGCATAGAAATCCAAACAAATTACTGGGAACATAATAGAAGACATCAAATTTTTC